ATCCCCCCCCCTTTCTTTCTTTTTTTCCTTCCTTCCCTTTCTCTTGCTTCCCCCCCCTGCCCATCATGTACTCACTAGCTCACTTGCACGATATGCCTGGCCCGTGCCCCTATTTCCACGTGCAGGCATTGTTGTTGGTGGTGGTGCCATCTTGGTGATCACAAGCATCTGCCTGTGTAACTGCAACAAGCCGCTGCCGGAAACAGAGGACAAGGACGACGATATTGAGATGCAAGAGAAGTGAAGGGGCTGGTTCTTTTGCCCTCGCTGATATCGTTTCTCCCTCCCCCCCCCCCCCTTTTCACATCGCCCCAAAACGTCCTCGCACACGTGTACACTCACACGCGCACGCACCAACCAACCCACCACTTCACACACACTCAACCACAATGCATTGCAGTGACCCCTAGTTTCCCTTCCCCCCCCCCCTTCACCCCTTCGCCCTCTTTCTTTTTCGCATCAAGCACACTTTCCTCCACCCTCTCCACCCTCGTTGGTGTGTACATGTTTCGCTTGGTTGTTTTAGGCATGTTCTGTTGATCGCTGGCATGAAGTGCACCAGAAATTGCGCCATTCACGCTGACACACTGACACGTTGATACGACAGACTGTTCCTTTTCTTTTCCCTTCCTCTCTTCTCCTCCCCCCCCCCCTCACACACACCGTTTGCATTTGCCGTGTCCGTGCGTGTGCACTCCTGATATCGTGTGTGAGGGATTGTGTGCTCTTTTGCGTGTAGGCTGTGTTTTTGTGTGCTTGCACAGCACGGTCTGTTACCCAACACGCCCTTGCCCACAAACAGTGGTGTTTCCTCTCTGTTCCTCCGTTCTCAAGTTCTCACGCGCGTCGGTGGCCTGTGTCCGTGCGTCCATCCCCTTGTGTGTGAGTGTGGTTGTTTCTTCCTCGTGTCTTTGGTGTTGCCCTTCTTCCTCTATCTGCATCATCTTCCCTCCTCCTTGTTGGTCGGACCTTAATGAACACTCGACAGTGAAACCCTGAAAGCAACCGCAGCACAGCCATGGGTGGGCGCATGATGGAGGCATGCGTGGTTCTGCCGTAGTCGTAGATTCGTTGAGATTGCGCTGCATGCATGCACGTACCCACGCACCCATCCTCTGTCGCGTGAACCCTGCTCGCACTTTCCCCCAACACACACACACACACACACACACACACACACACACACACTCTCTCTCTCTCTCTCTCTCTCTCTCTCTCTCTCTCTCTCTCTCTCTCTCTCTCTCTCTCTCTCTCTCTCTCTCTCTCTCTTTCTTTGACGTTGAGTTGGATTGATTGTTGTTGTACTTGCGTGGACCAATAAATGTAAGGCACACTCGGCATGAAGAACAAAAAGAGCGTGTAGGGCAAGGAGAGGCACATCCTCTCTCAATCAATCAATGATTCGATCGATCGATCAATCGACCAATCAATCAATCAATGAGAAGCGCGGTGCTCATGTCACCAAATGATACGAATCGAAACTAAGCAGAAGAACAAAAGGCCATGTCACCGCGTGTTAAGCGACCCCCTTTGAACAACAGGGGGTCGCAAGCAGGTGTAGCATTATGAACGACAAGCACGCAAGGCGGTGCTGACGACGTTCTCTCAAGGGTCAGAGGAACAGGTGCAAGATAACTGGCATCAAGCCAAAACCCAAGGCCAAACCAAAGTAACAAGTGGTGGTGGTGGTGGTGGTGGTGGTGGCAATTGCACCGCCCCACAAATGCACATGCATACACAAGAGGCCATGGTGTACGACCAGCGCACAACGCTCCTGTCGCCAAAGCTGTCTGTCTGTGGCGGCCACCCTTCTTCTCAGACGACGTGGTGGGGCGTGTGCGCGGTCGGGTGCGTCCACGGCTGCGTGTGTTGCGCCTTGAACGAGTGGCTGGCATAGTCCTGGGCGCAGGAGGAGGAGGAGGCCGCGTCTGTGGCAGTCTGCACAGTGACGTGGGGAGGCACGTCGCTCTGTTCCTCCTGCATGTCCTCGTCCGAGTCTGAGCTAGAGTCCTCAGACTCCGTGTCAGAGACGCTGGGCAGCTCCTGGTGGTGCTGGCGGTGGTGCTGGCGGTGGGGTGCTGACTGGCGCATCGCTGGGTAACGCGCCTGGTACGGGGTGGTGTGCGCACAGCTTGTGGTGTCCATCGCCGATGGCTGCTCTTGTTGCTGCTTAGGCACCTGGTTCTCGACGTCCTTGGACACGTCCATGGCCGTGGCCGTGGCAGGCTTGGTTGCGGTGGCGGATGCGCTAAGGCGGGAGCGCCTGCGCATGGATGGCACAGAGCGCTCGCGGCGGGTGAGCACTGGCGAGGAGGCGAGGGCCTCCACGTTGTCGCACTTGGCAAACATGTTCTGCAGCTTCCTCCACATGTCACGCTGCATCAGGCTCTTGCGCAGGCTTGTGGACGAGTCCTCGGCCATGCGGCAGTTCTTCTTGTAGGCAATGGGGATGAGCGTGTTGTACGTCATGGGAGGCGCGCTGGTAGATGTTCTCGTCATCATGGCGTTTGCTGTTGTTGTTGTCTCTGCGGGAGTGGTGGTGTTGGTGACTGCTTCGTCTTCTCACAGTGATCGCGTGCTGGCTTGACTTGACTGGCTTGCCTGCTTGTTGTGTCGGCTCTCTGGAAATGAACGTGGAGATGCGGTGGTGATGGTGTGCACTGGCTATTCGTTGGGTTGGTGGGCTGTTGGGTTGGCTGGTTGCTAGACGTATAGCAGCGCAGCAGAGTGCTGATTGGTTGGGGAAGGTTCTGGAAAAGCGGTGATGTATCTGTTTGTGTCTGTCTTGGTCGTGGGTCGTGGAGTCTTCTGATCAGCAAACAGTCCTTTGAGTTGGCTTTTCGCTTGCTTGGTTCTTGGTGTTGATCGAGGATGTGCGCGCTGTGAAAATGACACATTCCAGCGTTTGCACTCCAACCAAATCATCGCACCAAGGCGAGGTCGGGGCTGCTTCTGCTTTTGCTGCATGCTGTTGCATCGAGCGCGTGGGTGTGTAAAGCCTTCGCCTTTTGCTTTGCTCCGTGCGACGACTGTGTTAGGCCAATCAACTTATGTATGTCATCAAAGCGTGATGGCTGAACGCAACGCAGCGCAACGCAAGCAATCACAACCCACAATGCAAGAAGTGTGCAACGCACAACAAAGCCGTGCGAAAATACATAGATGCAACCCCTCGAAAATACTTGCAAATCTTCAACAAAGGCCGTCACCGACGGTTGCTGCAGCACGGGTGTGACAAAACCGAGCGGGAAAATTGGCTAAGGGATGGACGAATACGTTTGGGCGGTGTTGGCTCTGAAGGTGGACGAAACCAAGCGCTTGGCTGCGTCTTGCGCCAGCGTTTTGTTGTCGTTTGCTGTGCTCTTCCCACGCAATCTCGCTGCTTTGCGCGCTGCGTCGCGCGCTGCTTCACGCGCCGATTGCCTGCTTTGCCCCTGACGCCTGCTTGCGTTGGTCGCTCACTCACGTAAACAATCAGAGGCAGTGGGAAGAGCAACAGTCGGTGCGTCCAAGATGAAACCAATGGCCTGGATGAAAGCAGTCCCTGCACAGAGAGGGGTGAACAAAGGATGAAGGCAAAGGTGGTGCAAGGTGGGACGCAACTTGTGTGTGTGTGTGTGTGCTGCCCCTTTGGCGCAACAAAGGCCAACCTTGCCTTTGGGATGAAAGGGCTGGCTTCGCGCTCGTTGGACCACCACGCAACGATCACCACATGCAAAGGTCGCCATAATTTTGTGCTGTCGAAGGACCAGTCAGGCTGACGAAACCAACTCGCTCGCGATGCTGCTGAGCGGGAAGGTGTGTGTGTGTGTCTGCTTGCTTGGTGTTTGGTCTTGTTTGTTTATGTTTATGTTTTGCAGCTGTGATGGTGATGGTGGTGATGATGATGATGATGACGATGGCATCGCGCGTGCGCTCATCATGCGGCATGCAACCCACCAAACAACACACAGAGTGTGCTCGTGACTGGGGCGTCCTCAGGCATTGGCCTGGCCACTGCTCGCGTACTCGCGCGCGAGGGCGCAAAGGTATGTGTGTGTATGTGTGTGTGTGTGTGTGCGTGTGTGTGTGTGGGTGGGTGGGTGCAACACGCGGTGATGGTGGATTGCACTTGGGTGTGAGGTATTGTGCGCGCGCGCGTGCGCGAGCCAGGTTTGGTCACGGCACGTGAGCGCGTGCGCTGCATGGATGAGGTGTCAAGCAAGGTTGATGATCATCTGCGCAGGTTGCGACTCATCGCTCCTGATCCTTCCTGAGACCGCTGTCCTCACACACGTCACCTACACATCAAACATGCGATGATCAAACACCCAAAACATCACGCAATGGCGCAAAGGTCTGCGTCACTGGTCGTGACAAGCGGGCCCTCAAGGCCATTGCAAACGAGATCAAAGCGCCTTTCGTGGTGGCAGACCTCACCAAGGATGGAGAGTGTGAGCGCACCGTCGCTGAAGCAGGTCTGTGTGTGTGTGTGTGTGTGTGTGTGTGTGTGTGTGTGTGTGTGTGTGTGTGTGTCTGTGTGTGTGTGTGTGTGCGTGCGTCTGTGTGTCTGTGACTGTGTGTGTCTGTGTGTGTTTGTGCGTCTTTGTGTCTGCCTGTGTCTCTGTCTGTCTGTCTGTCTGCCTCTCTGTCTGCCTGTGTCTGTCTGTGTGGACCCTTCTCGCCACCCCACCCCCAGCTTTCTTCCACATCGCTGCTCACCAGCCTTCCTTCCTGCTCCCCTTCCCGCTTACGTTCCCCTTTAGTGAGTGCGCTGGGCCAGGTGACGTCGCTGGTCAACTGCGCGGGCGTGCTGCGCGGCGGCGCCATCGGCACCCCTGCGTGCGACATCAACAACTACCTCGACAACTTCAACATCAACACACGCACCGTCTTCGAGATGATCCACCACGCTGTGCCACACCTCAAGGCTGCGGGCGCCACAGCCAACCCCTGCATCGTCAACATCACCAGCGTCAACGGCAAGCAGAGCTTTGGCGGCTGCGCCAATTACTGCGCCA